TAGAGGACAGACACTTACCTGTTTTGTAGAATATCAACTATTATAAATACTAATCTATGGCTTTTAGTATTGTGAAGGACTTCACATTTGGAGATGAAACAAAATCTCTCAAAGTTGCAGTTGTAGCTGTAAGGACAACTACTCAGCAGTTCAATTCACCAGAGATGAATACTTAACAAGTGATATGGAATCAGCATTTCAAGGGAACTTGTTATATTTCTTCAGTTCAGTCAATACGGGTACACTTCACTCTTCTGATTACAATTTATGTACAGCACCACATGGCCATCCAGATGACAGCTGCAGAATGCATAGTGCCTGACCCAGATAATCTGAGGTTTCCCTGCCTTCAAGAATAGAAGAAAAAAGCCAAGAGGGACTCACTCCCTTTGCCCATCGCTTGCCTGTTGTAAGGCACTGATAACCCACGTGCAAAAAGGCCAACAGGAAATGAATGCTCTCACATAGCTCCTCCACAGGAAATGCAGTCACAGTGAGAGATTGACATATGCATGCTAGGGAATAGAGGAGAGACAGGAAGTAATCAGGAAAAGATGCTGGTAAAAGGAAAGAGCCCAACAAATGTGAGAAAAGCCTTCTTGTTCTTCCAGAGACATGGACTGCAAAATGCTAGAATAGTTTTTTTTCTCCCCCCAAAGAGCTGTTTCAGGCTGCTTGTATCAGAATAAGTATACAGATCAGCTAATTTCATTTTTTTTTCCTATTAGTGTTTGCCATTTCCCCTCACTGTGCTCATGTCATCACCAGATTTCAACTTCTTCCTCACTTAATAGAATAAAGCCAAAATAGTTCTTTAACACTTTTGCCTTGTTTAAACACTGTCATCTCCAGCTTCAGGATCTGGCTTTTGATTTGGAACCCAGGAAACACTAACACACACTCCCATGCCCCATTAGGAAATACAAAACTGTATGGATAAGCACAGAGTGAATATACCAGTCATGAGTTACTGCACTGTTCTGGATAATATTTCTGCCATCTCAGATGATAATAATTTTTGCATACCTTTCAGCTCATTGCATCACCTGCAAGCCAGTCTGTCTCACTAGAAAAGCTTGCTGTTCAGCAATAATCATTCACAAATATATGAAGAGGGTCTGCTGTTGCATTCATCCATGTACAATCCTACCATCTGAGGTAACAAGGCAACACAGCATTTAGACATTAACTATGCCTAAAAGCCTTCTTACAGAGGATTAGGTCTATAAAATTAACGAATTCTGCTTGTTTCCAGACAGTTCATGCAAGTAGGAGGAGAAAATAACCTGCTTTGCTGCCCACATCAATTTGAAAAGACCAGATTTATGCATATGATCATGCCACTGATGATATGATCCACTCTTAACCTGCAAGTCTCATTCATTTCAGTAGGACTGACAGATGCTCAGCTTTACTAAGAGTCTGTCAATACTGTTTTCCTACCTCTGCTACCTGCCCATGACATCTCATGACAGAATTTGTTCTAGAGGGTAGGATGGTCTGCAGGGTGGGGACTGGAAAAATATTTTTTAAATCTTCCCAGATTATTTTCTGATGCCATTGTTAAAGGTGCGTGAAAGCTGCAGAGTGACCTTAACTCTTCTCCACTTGTTTTTGTCTCCTCTTTTCCTGTCCCCACCCCTCTATGTTAGTCAGGCACTTATTTTTAGACAAAGAACAGATAAGCAGAACAATCCATTTCAGGGGAACACATCTTCATCTGTCACCCAGCTGACTGACTGTGACTCCTGTGTCATATGCTGTTGACTATTCAGCAGTGAGCTGATCACCTGGACCTACCTGAAGGGGAGAAAATACAGTGTCTCAGACTGCATTTTGAAGAGTCCTTTAAAACTGAACTGTTGTGCCAAACAGCTCTGAGTAATTCCCTTCCTTGCCTACTGTTTTAAGAGCATTTTCCTGAACAGGAGCATTAGCAATGCCACAGTCGTGTACTGTGCTTTTGTCAGTAGGCTTCAAACACCTTCAGGTCTTCTCCCCTGCTTCTCACGTGAAGTGCAAGCTGAGTGGTAATTGTATGGGGCTGGCTGACAGAGTGCAGGTCAAGGGACAGCTAAGCCACAGCTCTAGTTCCTAAGTCCAGGGTGCCCGCTTTATGTCTAGGTGTGGGCTAGCTTCATACTGGCACAATAGTAGCTTCCTCTTTCAGGGAGGTCCTTGGAAACACACAGGCATAAGACTATAGATGGGATGAACAATCCCAGTGTGTAGAGTGTTGCTGTCATCTTTCTCAGGAGCTCAGAGGCAACTCCCTCACAGCATAACTTGCAGCATGACAGAAGACCACAGAGCCTCCATGAAAAAGGACAAATCCTTTTGTCTCTGTGGCCCACCCACAGTCTTATTGCTTGGGGGCAGTTAGAGTATAATGAGCATGTCCACATGTAAAACCTACCTGCCTGCATAGAGGGATACTATGCATATGTAGGCAAAAGGGCCATGGCACATCTGGTATTAAAAGCAATTATAATACCCTTTAAGTTGAAGTGTTTGGGGTTTAGGACTCATCTTGCACATAGAAAGTCTAATCCCACCTTAGGGCAGCTGTGGATCAAAACCAGTCCACAGATAAGCGTACGGCTTCCACTGGCAACATTTAGAGCTGTGTGACCTTCCCAAGAAGGGGATTTTCCTCACAGTTATCTTCCCTCCCCCACTCTCTCCAAGAATATCTTGAGAATGTAAGTACAGCTTTCCTTTTCCCCCATGGTAAGATTGCAATTATGGCTAAGTTCACAGCTCAACTCACTTATGACTGCAAATTGCTGATTAAGGGGAATATCTGATCTGTTTGGAGATCTATTTATGTGAAAGATGCTGAAGAAAAAATAGACTTTGAGAATATTATCATCAAAAGCCATGTATTACACTGTGTTCCAATTAAAAAATACCACAACCAGCTGACATTCCTACTCCACCTCCCCCTGAAAGAGGCTACATTCATTTCTGCATGCCTGCTTTTCCCCTCTAAGGCAGGCTACAAAATCCAATCCCATCCCAAAGCAATGCTCCGAACTAAAAACTGGGCCTCACTGGGAAAGAGTTCAGAACATTTAACAGTGCTTTCTGACCCATCTACTGCTAGCAATGCAGCCAGCTGTGTGAACAGGTAATTCCTCCACATCTCTGGGAATCCAGCCATTGCAGATTCACTCCTGCTCATCATATGCTTTCAAAAGCCCCACGAGAATCATATAGCCTTTGGGCATATCAAGTATACTTTAAGAGATTATAATCTGAAACAATGGGTTCTTTGGGAAACAGCTGGTTTTTCATTTCTGATTGTGTCATATACAGTGCAAGTGCCACAGGCCCAGCCCTCGACTGACCGCCTCTAGGTATGACTGAATTACTTACAAAAAAATAATTCACACCATACAATGCAGGCTGCAAAGCATCATGAAAATGCCTGCAGAAATATCTTGGCACCTCTCCATACTTACCTTGGTTGGGACAAGGAAAGATATACCAAAACTATTTACCATAGTAAAATTAGCATAAGTTTATGAAGTGAGTTCATTTTTGTGGGCGGGGGGTCTTTTTTGGTTACTTTTTTGCTTGTTTGTTTTTAATAACATTGACAGAACAGCCTTCTTTGCAATTACTACGCCACTTTTGCAAAAGGGGATATGAAAAGTTCCTCTCATCACCATAGGACTAGTATTAAGGTAAAGCAGCTCTATCTTCAGAGAAAGGAATACTGTGCATAAGAATAAGGGAGATCAAATAATACAGAGCTTTACAGTATGAATATGAAATAGCATAGTTAAGATTTCAGAAGCTCACTGATAACTTTGAATCACCATTGTTGCAGAGATATCAATTTGGTACCCACAACTTAACAGACTGTACTTTTTCATCATGAAAAAAAACAGTTTTCAAAGTAGTGTAGGTGGCTTTTTTTATAGTGGAGCAGACCTTTTGTTTGCGTTCTATTTGTTTGTCTGATTAAATCATTCTGGTATTCCTTTTAAATGCTGTTATGTAAGTAACATCTCTTGTCATTGCACTACAAAATAAGCCTTCTGCAGGTGATTGGTGGAGGAACCCAGATGTCCCTAAAAAGATCTGAACATTCTGGAACAGATTTGAGACCATCAGAAAGAAAAAAGGAGAGGGAAAGAAAAAAAAAAGAAGGGAGCTGCAAGAGGTAGTACAAAGCAGAGTTCTCAAACCAGAAGTTACACAGAACTGTCTAGTTTGATAATTGAAGGGTAGGTAAGGGAAATGCTTACAAATTTCCTGAAAACCATCCAATGTTAAAAACTTTTAAGAAACTGAACTAATTCAGGTCATAACAGCACTCCACTACAACACCTTAAAATATTGCTCTTATGGAAAAAAACCCCAAAAAGACAGCTAGGAAATAAATGGACTAATCTGTAATTGACAGATAAACCAGGTAATTAATTATTAAATCACATGCTGTTTGTCAGCTGCAAATGGAAGGCTACTGCATAATTTAAGACTGCATTTTAAGCACTGTTGAGTCTTCTGCTTGACATGTCTAATTTTCATTCAATTATTTATTGCCCCCCCCCCCCCCCCAAAAAGAGGACATGTATCCCTATCTTTGTCCAGTTTTAACACCTAGACTTCACAAATTTACAAGCAGTTACATGTTTATTCTCTAGAAATATAATTTTATATTCCCATTCACAGTTGTTCTACGCCCCCCCAAATAGATGGCACCAGCAGAAAAAGAGGCAACACTGTACAAAATAGAACTGGAAGCTTATTTAAAAGAGACAGTATTGTCATTCTTAAAAAAATATTAACCAGAACTGTCTTCCTGAGGCATCATCAATGCCAGGTTGTAGCTCAATCTAGTATATTTAAAGTCCACATTATATTGTCTTTATTCAGACCTAGTTGCAAAGACCCTCTAATTTGCTAGGCCAGGTCAGAGTGTACATATGACTACTTCACTGTTATTTTCCAACCTAAAAAAGCTCAATGAAGTTTTTTTGCTCACTTACTCTGGAGATGGTCAAGGGCATGTTGAAGTCCTTGCCCCCTTGCAGTCGGAAACCCCATGGTCCAGGTCCATTCAGAGTCACGCTGTAAGCCATTTTGTACTTCTTTCAGAAGGCAACAACAAGGCACTGCAGAACAGAAGGATGGGGTAGACAGAGAAAGCGTGAAAAAACAGAATGATAAAAGGGAAGTTTTATATAATGAATGCAATTCTCTTTCTGCCTTGCCTGTTCAGTCGTGCTGGTATATCACCTAAGAATAGATGGGAGCTATAATGCAGATGCTGATATCCCAGCTGAGCAGGGCCCATAAAAGGTTTGTAACCAGACACCTACTATGCAAAGACTTCATGACTCAGAGGTCTAATATAGCCCCCAGGGAAGGGGACAGATCTTTCTAGGCTTCTCAAGCCCCTCTTCATCCTCAGTTACTTTATGGGCAAAACACATTTTGTAATAAAACAGACAAACAAAATCCGATGCTAAAATCCCAAACACCCAAATCTCTTTATTCACCTGTTAACAACTACATAGCCATTTGTAACTTCTGCTTCAGAATTTTTACTGCACTGTGATATATGGTGTACTACAAACAAGTTCTTTTTACATAGATCTTTCCATATGTAGCAGGAAAGGCACCAAAAAAAAGAGTGTTTACCTTTTGCATTGGTTTGCAAAAAACACCACAACCTCATGTTTGGCTCTTGGTTCCATAGCCCTTGCTTTCTCGAGGGAAAACTAAAATTCGTTCTCTTTGAATGCAGACAGAGGTATTATGGGTTATTTCTAATCAGCATTTAATTTCTGTGGCAAAAGCATGGTCTCACTATACACCTGCCTCATTATTTCAATACAAGTCTTCTAAAGGCACGACACTTAAGTGGAAGGCTAAGAATACAAATAGCTAGCTAACTGCTTCTTTAATTCATTCCTTGATTTTTCATAGTTTATATTGCAGTTGTTAGGTGTTCCATAAACTTTATAACCCTTGTTCAGTAATGCTAGAGAGCATTTCTACCTTAGATTTGGAAGAGCTAAAATACAGAGAACAAGAGGGAAGGGGAGAAGCTGTTGGCAGAGCTACAGAAATAAACAAAAAGCTTCTGCTCTCAGGATAAAGCTATAAGCATTAAATAATGCTCACCCCTTTAAAGTCATTAACATGTTGAGGACCTCCAGAACCACTCTACTGTATCTCCGCAGCATCCCTGCCTTTACCCTCCAGTTACAAAGAAATTCCTATTACGTTAAGGGGGCGGGGG